AGGAGCTGTCCTCGTTGGTGATGATGAGGTAAATGCCTACTTGTATGATTTTTCCACTAACCTGATCATTAATACCTGACTGTATGCAGGTACTGAAAAATTAAACCAACACTTTAATTACTTTAGTAGCATCTGGCAAGTGGCTATTAGCAAAACTGTTCTATGTATGTATGTATGTATGTATATGAAAAGCAACATACGCTACAGTGACAGCCATTATGCAATTAAAGCCTGAGATCTGACACTGGCCTCAGCGGTTGAAAGGTGAATCCCAGTGGGCTGGAGAGCTGTCCCCTCTCACTGACTTCTTTTCAGAGTAGAGAATTTATTACATTCAGCAGAGCTTCATTAGAGACTCTGGATAAATAGTCTTATTAATAATATACCGTGAAGTAGATAGTTGCTGTTGAACTAAGGTAAAAAGGATAAAATAGATAAGAAAGATGTAGTAACCTGGAAATGATCTGACTGGTCTCTTCCCTAATACCTATCTACAAAGGCAGCTTGAGTGGTTAGATGCTCAACTCAAGAAAGAGGTCAGATTTCACTATCTTTTAAAAGCACATTGACATCCATATTATTGTAACCTTATAAATACACCTCTGGGATGTAGGGCACATATTAATAAAAAGAGAGGGAACTAAAGCCCAGCATAGGAACATTATAACATAGGGCTTTTGGCTCCTTAGGGACACTCTGACCTGTTAGCTGAGTGGTAAGCTGCGCCTCAGTGAACTTACCTATGAATTGGGGGTAATATTAGTACTCTGTAGGGGTGCGGGAATAATTTACAAGCAAGGTACTATAACAGTAGTGCCTATCACATTGGAAACCCTAAAAAAGTTACCATTATTTGGGTTGGCAAACTGTCAGTCGGTTATGAGTTTGGAGAAATAAACTGCACTGACCTCTATGGATATATAGTTGACCCTAGAAAACACAGGTTTGAACTCTATGGGACTACTTATACATGGATTTCTTTTCAATAAATACTGTAAATGTGTTTTCCTTATGATTTTCTTAGTATTTTCCTTTCTCTAGCTTATTGTAGGAATACAGTGTAAAATACATATAATGTACAAAACATATGTTAATTGTCTGTTATTGTTAAGACATCCAGTCAACAGTAGGCTATTAATAGTTAATTTGGGGGGAGTCAAAAGTTATATGTGGATTTTTGACTGTGAGCGGGGCAGCACCTCTCAGTCCTGCGACTTCCTCCCTGGCACGTGTTCCTTCTCATTTCTTCAAATCTTACCAAGGGCACATCTATTTAGTTGTCTGAACAGGCCCAACTTTATTTCAGTCTTGAGGACTATGCCATTCCTCATTCTATAGCCCCAACCCTAACACCTGCAGGAAAACCATGCTATTGTGGGGTTTGTAGAATTTGGGGAAAAAGTTTTAAAGTTTGATTAAGAGCTCTACTGTTCTTTCTGTCACTAGACTTTTCCATTACAAATTTTAATCTAGGCTTATAGGGTATTTAAAAATATATCTGATTAAAATTAATAGTGTACAAATGGTAAAATAGACAAATCCAATTAAATTAGTCTATTGACATAAAGTAACTTGCTTTAAAATTACCTTAAAGCAGTAACCAAGTAAAACAAAATGGCAAAGAGACTGCATCCCCAAATATCTCTACCCATCAGTGCTGAGACAATTTTTACCTCCAAGGATTTGAATATAAATATGCAGAAGTGTAACTCTATTATCTCAGTAGACATCCCCACAGGGATGAAGTTATTTGGGAATGCTACCAATGAGGAAAAAATTGAAATGTATTACATTAATATATTGAAAAAATTCCTTACCGGATTTCATTAAAAAGGTGATATTCCAGCTCTGAAGTATAGAATTTGTACTAGATAGATACAATTACTTTTAAATGGGAAGGAAGAGGAATTTACCTGTCTTTGGAATCTGAAGCTTTGATATTGGACAGTGAGGTGCAGGGGAAATACCTGGTCTAGGAGTTAGGAAACAAGTGTAATTAATGCTTCATTATTAACTAGCTGACTTAAATTAGACATTTAACTCTTTTGGACCTCAAATCTCATATTCTTAAAATGAGGAAGTTGGACTCGATAATCTCCAAGGTTCCTTCCAGATCTAAAATTTCATATTACAGTCAACATTCAATTGACTTTAAGGAACAGTTAACCAGTACCTAATATTTGAAAGCACTGTACTAGATACTAGTGACATAGAGTTAAATACAAGTTTCCTACCCTCAGAGGTTTATAATCTTATGGATTATTAAAATGATGAGATAATATTTTCAGAATATTATGTGCCTGTTTTATTATCCATAAAACATGTGGGGGCAGTGAGGTTTAGCAGACTAAGAATGAATGTTGCCTCTCAATCTTCAGGCTGTAGCTGACCCACTACAAAGATCTGTGTGAATTACTCTCTAAGTCTGTTTTTTTATTTGAAAATAATCGTACTGACTCAGCTGAAAGAAATAACAAAGGCTGTACATCCTACACTTTTTAAGGGATGCTCTGTGCTAGAAGAGTGCTGAGTATTAGGCACAAAGTCGCTGGCAGGTCCCTCATGTAGCTTAATTGTTGTTACCAAGTTTGCTGCAAATCAATCCATATAGCAAATGGCTACCTAAAACAAATTAATTGTGGGCTTATTTGAATTTTAGAGATGCCAAGAAGCAAGCCCATTTCTACGCAAAATAATGTATCTCAGCCCTTGAAGAACAATGTTGAGTAGTATAAAACCATACAAGTATTACATCTATAAAATATCATGAACTTGTGTAAATTCTACATAATTTATTATTTCCTAGATGTAGAATAGGTTGAAAACATAAATGAGATAAAGAATGCAGGAGCAGCTTTTCTGCTGAGAGATAGGACAGACATTCTTATAATTAAATTTGCCATACGAGGATGGCCCATCTGAGTCCAGAGGTAACTAACTGCCTGTCTCTGTGGGGCCCAGTTGACACTCTGTCAGGTTAAAGGTCACCCATATGGATGCTATTCTTGTCTTGAGAAGGAACTTGAAGTGGATAAATTTAATTCTGAGATTCTATGATTAGATGAAGTGATTCATAAATGTTTAAGTGATAGAAATAACATAGATTATATTTTATAAATTGTAAGGGTATAATTTATTCATGAGAGACATTAGGGATTAAGTGGAATGGAATACATTACAACACCAGTGGTGTGGGACAGGGGAAGTGATCTTGTGTTTGGTATAACATCATGCCCTGGTTTGAAACCTAAATTTCAGAACCATGGAACTCAGAAAAGCCTTGGCTGTAGAAATCTAAAGCCGAAACGACTGATGTTTCCAGTTGTTTCTGGTGTGATCCATTCTCTGATTGGGGATCAGTGGAGTCAACGCTAAGGTGCCCGCTGGGGCAGGGCCATGGGATTCAGGGAGGTGGTGTACATTGTGCTGTGATTGGGGTAGGAGGCAGCAGTTTTCCATTAATACCTCAGTATCACTCACTATAGTAATGTGGTGAGTGTGATGAGTTCGTTTGAAAGCATTGAAAAAACTGGTCGAAACTCATGAAAATGGTGCAAATTATTGATTTAGGAAACTTAATGGTCAGAATTCACCTAATGTCTTCCGCTGCCAAGGAGCAGCCAATTTTGTTTCTGGACCTCTTCCCAGCGGCAATGACTTAGGTGGTCTTGGCTTAGAGTAGTTACCCTTCGAGGGCTGGGGACCTGCCCATTTACCAGACTGAGCCCAAAGCTTAGAGCGTGGCTCTGGAATTCCTGTATGCGGTCCGAAGCTTGCATTTGTGTGAATGATGGGCAGTGCCTGTAACATTAGAAGTCTTTAAAACAGCCCATTTGTGACGAAGAGAAGAAATGCGTTAACCCCGGAAAAGAAATGCATTTCGAAAATGGGGAGAGGATGGGCTGTTGTAGAAGAAAAGGGCATTTTCTCCTCACCAGAGGGTTTGCTGGAAATGAAGACGAGGCAGTTTTCTATCCAGTTTCCAGCTGTAGGAAACAGCTAGGAAGAGTAGTCCCAGTCCAAGTTCGGCGGGGACGGGGCTCCTGCAGAGAGTCACTGTGAGGCGTGCAAGACAAGTGGGAGACCCAGCCACGTAGCGCCAGGCGTGAGGGATAGACTGCCTCTCCTACTAGGTGCAGCTGAGGTACGAACTGCCCCGACTGCGCCTTCCCTTCTAGGTTTTTCGGGGAACACTTCTCGTGCTTTGTTTCAGACGTCGACCCATCTTTCTTGGTTGGTCTGCGTCTCCACCAATCACGCCCGCGACGAGGCGGAGCTTCAGGGTCAAGGTGGACCAATTCCCCAACCTCGCCCCTACACGCGCTTTCGGACCCCCCGGGATGAGTGACAGCAACCGGGTCCAACCTAATACTCCAGAGCGTGGTCTCCTTCAGGGGCGTTACAGGGATGAGGCGTCGGGACCAATCGCATTGGACTTTAGGGGGCGGAGCGTCTTTGACCGCTCCAGACTAAGGCCCTCTGCACTTCTTTGTCAAATGAGAGGCCCGCAGGGGTGGTTCCTCAGACTTGGTTTAGCCAATGGAGAAGACGAGGTGGGCGGGTCCGGAGTGTCTGGCGGCGGGTCCTCAGCTCCCAGCCGAGGTGCGGCTAGCCGGTGGGGATACCGCGAGGCGAGCGCGGGATCCTGGGCAGCTAGTGCGGTGTGAGCTGTCCGAAAATGCACTCGGATGCTGCCGCTGTCAGTGAGTAACAGAGAGAGACCAGGTCAGGGCCAGGTGGCTGCCAGCACTCCACTTGGCTCTCACAGTCCCTGAGCCCTGCCTCCTGTCCCGAAACGCTGGAGCCCCTGCCCGGGAGCCACCCCTTCCCCTCCCAGGGCCGGGGCGGGTGGTGACGCCTTGGGCGCTGCGGGGCGGGGGCGGGCGATGGGGGGAAGGGGCCGGCCTGCTAGGGGAGGGCGGAGGTGAGGGGGGTGGGGACTGGCTCTGTTTCAGTGTTGGGGGAAGGGGGGGCGGGACGTGCGATGAAGGGCCGGGACCAGAGTGTCTGGGGTGAATGGAGGTGGAAGTGGAGGCAAGCGCTAGCAGGCAGGGCAGGGGAGTGACATCGGAGGGGGAGAGAGTGAGTGAGCGGGGAGCAGGGGTGAGGATTTTTCCTAGGGACTGAGCGTTGCGGGCAGCTCGGTGTGAAAGGCGGGTGAGTACTAGGGGGAGCGCGGGGGCGGGGACAATGGGAAGAAGGGCTGGTTGGCGGAGGTGGGGGGGAACAATGGGGTGGGGGAATGGGGGCAGCGGCTGAGCTGGGCAGGAGGGCGGGCAAAGAGATGAGGGCTGATGTAACGGGAGAGCGAGATGGTGGGAGGGATTGGGGTGTGATGGGATAGTTGGGGAGTCCAGCGGGCAGAGGGGCATTGGAAGGCTGGTGGGGAAACTGGGAGTGGTGAGAGGGGTAGACGTTGGGGTAATAGGTTGGAGCAGGTGTTGGGAAGATAGGGTAATTGGGAGTAAGAGAGGAAGGGGGTTGGGGTACAAGATGGGGGCAGGGGTAAAGGAGGTGCGATGTGGGTGAAGAGCTAGTTGAAGGAAAGGGGGAGGTTGGGAGGGGTCGGGGCAGGGGGTGCACTGTCAAGTCCAGATTCTGTCTGGGAGGGACTTGGGGGTGGGGGGAGTAAGGTGTCTGAATGTGTTTGGCGAAGGTGTTTCCTCCCCCACCCCCATCAAGGCAGGGTCTTTGGAGGCGGGAGCCCTAAGCTTCAGGGTGCGGGGAGAGGAGGGGGCGGGGTTGAGGTGGAGGGGGCGGGGGAGGTGCCCAGAGGTTGGCGCTGGCCGCAATTTCCCCGGAGCAGCGGGAAGCGAGGTCAGCGCTGGCGCGGGCTCTGGCTGCAGGACTGGGAGGCGGGGCAGGGGTGCGGGTTGCGGGTTTTCAGAGGAAGGAGCTGGAGGGGTCGGGCTCTGGAGGCCGGGTTGGGGGGTTTTGCGGTGGGGGGGGAGTTGTCGGTGGTCTCTGGCAATCCCTGGATTTGGCAGTCTGTGACGCAGTTTTCTTATATTTGGTCGTAAGGTGTGGAGGTTGGTACCTCGGGACCTACTTCTCTGCAAGGGACAGCGGGACCAGAGGCCCGTGTAGCCCCTGGTGGGCACGACCTCTTTCCGGCATGTGGGGGGAAAAAGTGCTTTAGGGGTTTCCTTTAGGGTCTGGCTCCAGTTGCCGGGTGTGAAGGGGGAAAGGCAGTTCTGTGGAATTGTGGGACTTGTAGTCCTGGCCGCGGTTGGGTTGGGTGCACGTGGGTAACTGTGGAAACGAGTACCAGAATGCAGTGCGAACCCCTCGGATCCTCCCTTCTCTGCTAACTCCTGCTTTATTCCCAGTGGACCCCAGAGTGATCCCCGGAGGCTTTTCTTTCCCCTGGGACTGGAATGGGCCCAGTAGACCTTCTCTCCCTTTGTCAGCAGGAGGGGGCAAACCGAACTAAGTGCAGTTTTCACACTTGGGTTCCTGATCCCGGACTTGGACACCCCCCCCCCCATTTGGTGGCTTTATTTGTAGACTGTATGCTTATTTCTTGAGCCATACAGCACATAGGTTATGTTGAAAACATTCAAGAAAAGCAGCATTTAGGATGGTGTATTTATTGTGGCATCTGTTGTGTGTAAACACTAGGTTATAAGGTTCAGTCTTACATAAATTTGGGAACGCATTGGAGGCAAGGGTAACCCTTGTGAAGATAATATAAATTATGTGTTTGCATTTCTTGGGCTGTGTGGACTGACCAAGGATGAGGGGACTTTTTGAGAAAAGATGATCTTGAATTGAGTGATGGAGGTGGCTTAATAGAATTTCGGGTGGTCCCATTCATACAGCCCGATGAAAATATGAAGATGAATAAAGGGAATATATGAAGCAAATGAGACTAGATAACTCAGAGGAGGACCTTAAGGTGTTTTTCCTTTTTTTTTCTGCTGTGACCTGTAATTCCATCTATCTGCGTTTTTAATATGAAAGGTCATCTTAGTCTGTGGACTACCCAAACGTCACATCCTTTGCCAGTTCCCTTTACCTTCTATATGCAATGGTTAAAAACAATCTGTAATATAAAGAAGGCTGTAAGATTGGCTCAGAAATAACATTATTTTCATGTGATATTTTTGAAACCCTTGCTAACATAGTCACTAAAAGAATATTTATTATAATGACCCTAATGATGAAAATTTTACTAAAAAGTCCTAAGATTTGGAAACCTTTTCATATGGTTACAAATACAGTGAACTTGCGTGCTTGATTCAATAATGGTTCTTTTCATAATGGCTGAAAATTGGGTGATGTGCAGTGTACCTTGTATTTTGTTTGTGGTGGAATATCTGGGAAGCCCTTTGTGATATGTAAATATGTAACATGAACTTTAAAAAAAACTTCCATGAGAGCATTTTTTTCATTGCTTATTAGAGAGAGAGGGAGAGAAATATCTCTGTGAAAGGGAAACACAGAACAGTTGCCTCTCGTTGCCAGGGATGGAACCCACAACCTAGGCGTATACCCTGACCAGGAATCGAACCCACGGCCTTTTGGTGTACAGGATGATGCTCCAACCAACTGAGCCACACAGGCCAGGCCTGGACATGTTTTTTAAAATGTACATTTAGTTCTGGAATTGCTCTCATAAAGAGTAAAGTGTTGAGGTTGAAGACAAGAGGTTTGTAATTGTCTTCAGGATAGATGGTGGTTAGTCATTTCTTTCCCTTTTTCTATTACATCCCAAAGGGTATGCATCCTCGACACACACACAACCTATCCTCTGCCCTAGCCCTCCAAACCCTAGGTTTCTATGCCTTACCAGCTTGCACTTTGTGCTCTGGTTTTTAGGTTCCTTGATTTTGGCTTTTGGGGAGGTCCTTTATTTCCTTGTGAACTTAGCTATGCATGTGAACAGATGTTTCTTATACTTTACTCAGAATTTTTGGATTCTCTTCTATTGGGAAGGATTTTTAGGTTACCTTTTCTATAACATTGTCAGAAAAGAAAGTCTCCCTAATTTTCTCCACCTTGGAACACTTCTGTGCATTTGCTCTTTTCTTCCTCTACTTCTGCCTCCAAGAAGTGCCTCTACTAACATGTGACCACATTTTTTCAGATATTATTAGTCATTTTTTGTTTTCATCTTTAGCTGCTCCCAGAAGCTTTTACTAACTTACTGCTTTCTTCCTGATCATAGTACAGGTTTGCATTATTCTCCCATCCAAGTACTAACCAGGCCTGACCCTGCTTAGCTTCTGAGGTCAGACGAGACCCGGCCCGTTCAGGGTGGTATGGCTGTAGACAGGTTTGCATTATTCTCATCTCAGTAATAATAATCTTATTAACTCAGTAGCTTAAAAATCAGTCTGTTAGAAACTGACCTGATGATGACCTCTGGTGTATCAGTTAGGATGCCTTGGGCAAGTAACAAAACTCAATTAAAATGGCTTAAATAATAGACCTTGTTGTCTAGTAACAAGAAATCTAGAGATAAACTCTCTTACCTATCTTCTTGTCTAGGATCTAAAACTGGTGCAGCATTTTAGTGGTAACTTTTAGGAATCTATACTTTTTGCTTCCTTTGTTCTTAGTATTTGGCTTATAAAAAGCCTCAGGCTCATTGCTTCTTGTTTGCAAAGTAGTTGCTGCAGCACCAGACATCATGCTTATGTAAGGATAGGTAGGGAAGGAGTTTGTTTACTTACTGCTGCCTCTTAACAGAGAGGAGTCTTTGCCAGAAGGTCACCATGAAGACTTCCTCAGTTTCATTAGTTAGAACTGATCTCATGCCACTGCTGCTTGTCAGGAAGGTTGAGGAAGTGAAATCTGGCATTTTTCAGCTTCTGTCAGGGATGTGGCCTTTGCTAAGATAGAAGAAGGGTAAGGAGAAAGCTCTGGGTCGGCAGCCTATAGGTTATATTCCAGAACTAGCTACTTTGTCTCTGGCTTGGTATCAATCTCTTCGTCTGTTTATAAATTTTCTGCCTCATTCTAAAATAATTAGAGGTGACTTATGAAATGTAGATTAAAATCCTGCTGAGGAGGAAAATAAAGTAGAGATTTATAGGTTGCACATGAGTGCTTGCCATAGATTAGAAATAGGCCGTATATTTGGCCCTGAGCTTCCTATTTGGCAAAACAAAGAGGAAAACAAGACCAGTTAATTTTATTCACTTGGTTAATGGAACTACAATTCACTCACCCAAGCTAAAGCTTAGACGTTTCTCAACCTCTTTCACTGGTCAGTGGTAAAAGAGGAGCTGCATGTCTTCCCATGCGTGTCCTCTCCTATATCTACTGCCATTGGCCTTAAGTCTGATCCATCCTTCCTTATATTGTAATAATCAGTAATCCTTTCATCTGGCTCAGCCTCCTGTAACTTTATCTTTTCCATCATCAGTTGAATCATCTTTGTCCTTTTTGATTCCCTTAATCGGAAACCTCGAGGGCTCCCAGTTGCTTACTCAAATGCAGACTCCTCAGAACCTGGGGCCGAACCAGCTTCTGTAGTTTCAGCTCAGTTTGTTCCCCCTGAACTTCTGCCTCCTCGCCCATTGCCTTTGCTGCTATGAAGAAGTATCCGATGGAACGTTTCTTTATTGCGTTCCTTGTTCCCTTGCTCTAGCAAGACTCTCTCCTTCCACTGAATGTTCAAAACACTGTTTAGTTTTATTCTCAATTTTATCTTACATAACAATAGCTGCTTGTTTATTTTTTGTTCTTCTCCCCAGTTAGATTATTATCCCCTTGAGACCTGGGATTTTGCCTTACTTAGTATCCACTTCATTGTCCAGCACAGTGTCTTGCTCAGGGCCTCATGTATGTATTGAATTGAACTTAACTGGTCAACTTTTGAATAGTTTGTGAATTATCTGGAAAATTTTAATTCTTTCTCTTGCTGTCCAGTATGCTTCTAGTTGTCTTTCATTACCTTAATATTTTTCTTCAGGGAGCGCAAAAATTCATTTATCTGTATTTTTTTTTGTGACAAAGTCAGCCATATGCAAATGAACTTACATATCTATCTATCCATCTACCTATCTATCTATCTATCTATCTTTTAAAATCCATGCATATATTAGTTGTGAAGAATGTCTATGACATGGAGAAATTCTCAAAGAGAGAATAAAACGCTAATGATGGGCTGAGGAACCAGGAGTCTGCGTGGGACAGTGCCCGTGGTG